CGTCTGGGGCGGGGCCTGTGGGTCAGGGTGGGGCCTGGGAACAGGGGCGGGGTCTGTGGATCAGGGTGGGGCCTGGGAACAGGGGCAGGGCCTGTGGATCAGGGTGGGGCCTGGGAACAGGGGCGGGGCTTGTGGATCAGGGTGGGGCCTGGGAACAGGGGCGGGGCCTGTGGATCGGGGTGGGGCCTGGGAACAGGGGCGGGGCCTGTGGATCAGGGTGGGGCCTGGGAACAGGGGCGGGGCCTGTGGATCGGGGTGGGGCCTGAGAACAGGGGCAGGGCCTGTGGATCAGGGTGGGGCCTGGGAACAGGGGCGGGGCCTGTGGATCGGGGTGGGTCCTGGGAACAGGGGCGGGGTCTGTAGATCAGGGTGGGGCCTGGCGTCTGGGGCGGGGCCTGTGCACTGGGGGCGGGGCCTGGCCTGAGCCCCGCCCCTCCCGCCGCAGTGGGCCGAGAAGCACCAGCAGTGCCAGCGGCTGAAGCTGAGCGACATGCTGGCCAAGCCGCACCAGCGGCTCACCAAGTACCCGCTGCTGCTCAAGTCCGTGCTGCGCAAGACGGACGAGCCGCGCGCCAAGGAGGCCGTCGTCACCATGGTAACCAGGGCGGCGCGGGTCCCGCGGCGGCCGGGCCTCCCCGGGACCCCGGGCCTGAGCCAGCCCCTGTCCGCCCCCAGATCGGCTCCGTGGAGCGCTTCATCCACCACGTGAACGCGTGCATGCGGCAGCGGCAGGAGCGGCAGCGGCTGGCGGCCGTGGTGAGCCGCATCGACGCCTACGAGGCGGTGGAGGGCAGCAACGACGAGGTGGACAAGGTGGGCGGCCTGGCCTTGCTGGGGCTGGAGGGGCCAGACCGGCAGGAGGCTGTGCCGGAGGGAGTCTGGCGCGGGGACTCCTGGCTGAGCTGACCCCGCACCTGCGCCCTCCCCGCAGCTCCTGAAGGAGTTCCTGCACCTGGACCTGACGGCGCCCATCCCGGGCGCCTCCCCGGAGGAGACGCGGCAGCTGCTGATGGAGGGCAGCCTGCGGATGAAGGAGGGAAAGGACAGCAAGGTGACTCTAGGGGCCGCCCCGTGGGCAGCGCCCCTGCCCTGCCCCCCTGGCCCTGCAGGCGTGGACCACCCCTTCCCAGGCACCTCCTGGGCGGAGCCAGTGGGTCTCAGCTGCCCAGTCAGGTGGGCGGCGATTCAACAACTAGTGACCTTGTGGCCCCTGAGGGATGACCATCTGCCTGCAGTTTGCACTTTACAAACTCAGCAGCGTGGCCACAGCCCATGGGTGCCGGTCTCGCCCACTGGGTGCCATGTGGTTGCTGGGGGGCAGGAGGGGCACACTGTATCAGCAGGCCAGGAACAGACCCTTGCACTGAGCTAGGAATCCGTCATGCCTCATGTAGCCGGAGCCTGCAACTCAGGGTTTTAAAGTTACCTCCCAGTGGACGGAATGCCGTCCTGTGTGCTGAAGGATTCCGGTCGACTCTGGTCAAGGGCACATGCGGGCTCCATCCCCAGTAGAGGGCGTGCAGGAGGCAGCCAAGCAATGATCCGCTCTCATTGATGTTTCTCTCTCTCTCACTCTCCCTTCCTCTCTGAAACCAATAAAAATACATTAAAAATAAAATAAAATTTACTTCCCTTTCCTCTTTAATATCAAGTTCTAATTTAAATAAGTCACAAGCCTATAGCTCACTGGAAGAAAGTCATCTTGTTCTTCCTTTTTTTTAATTCAGAGAGGAAGGGAGAGGGAGAGAGGTAGAAACATCAATGACGAGAGAGAATCAGCAATAGACTGCCCCCTGTACACCCCCCACTGGGAACCTAGCCCACAACCTGGGCATGTGCTCTTGGCTGGAATCGAACCCGGGACCCTTTAGTCTGCAAACTGACGCTGTATCCACCGGGCCACACCAGCTAGGGCAGTGGTCGGCAAACCGCGGCTGGCGAGCCACATGCTCTCGAGCCGTGGTTTGCTGCTTTGTTGACTAATGAGTTTGCCGACCATTGTCATATGCTAACTACCCTTTACCTCTTTGCACACAATATAAATTTCCTAATCCTCCCAGCTTCCAACTACACAGTAACATTTAGTCTAGCAGTGGTCGGCACACTCATTAGTCAACAGAGCGGCAAACTGAGGCTCGAGAGCCGCATGTGGCTCGCCAGCCGCGGTTTGCTGACCACTGAGCAAGCGCTTGCTCTCACGTTCATGTGCGTCGGGCAGGGCAGGTGTCTGACAAAGTCTGAGTGCCCCCAGGAGAGGGCGCTGCAGCGGACAGGCGGAGGGTCCCTGCCTGAGGCCCCGGGACCCTGGCTCTGACCCCCGGCCTCCTGCTGCCCGCCCCCAGATGGACGTGTACTGCTTCCTCTTCACGGACCTGCTCTTGGTGACCAAGGCGGTGAAGAAGGCCGAGAGGACCAAGGTCATCAGGCCGCCGCTGCTGGTGGACAAGATCGTGTGCCGGGAGCTGCGGGACCCTGGTGAGGGGCCCGCCCCCGGGCCGGGGCTGTGACGGGCGGGCGGCAGCCGTCTGCGCCGGCCCTGACCCCAGCCCTTCCCGAGCAGGCTCCTTCCTCCTCATCCACCTCAACGAGTTCCACAGCGCCGTGGGGGCCTACGCCTTCCAGGCCAGCGGGCAGGCCCTGTGCCGGGGCTGGGTGGACGCCATTTACAACGCCCAGGTGAGCGGGTGCCGCACAGAGGGCGGGTGGCCGGGTGGCCGGGTGGGGGCCGTGGCTCACAGCCCAGCTGCCCCCCCTGCAGAACCAGTTGCAGCAGCTGCGTGCACAGGAGCATGCAGGCAGCCATCAGCACCTGCAGAGCCTGGAGGAGGAGGAGGAAGAAGAGGAGGAGGAGGACGAGCAGGAGGAAGACGAGGAAGAGGAGGGTGGGGAGAGCAGCACTTCAGCCGCCAGCTCCCCCACCATCCTGCGCAAAAGCAGCAACAGCCTGGACTCCCAGCACTGGTACGCGTGGCCTGGGCCCCGGCAGGCCTGGGCAGGGCCCGGCCCCAGTCCCTGTCTCCGAAAGGCTTTGTGCTGTGAGCCCGGCCGGGGTGGGTGTGGGTTCTGTGTGGGAGCTGGCTGCCCCAGCCACAGGCCGGGTTGGCACAGGATTTTCAACTTGACCGCCAACTCTGCCTCATTAGTAGCTGTCTGCCGGGAGCCGGCTGAGGGCTCTCAGGCCCTGTCCCACGGGAAAGAGTCTGTGGTGGGGATGATGCCATGCTGGTGTCCGCTGTGGGCACAGGAGCTGGGGGTCTGGGCCCGTGCCATGTTTGCCATCTCTGAGCCTCCAGCGGGCAGGGCCGGCCGAGGCCGTGGAGCCCTGCTGTGCCCGCCGGGGCTGACTCCCTTCCCGGCCCCCGGCCCGCAGCGCCTCGGACGGCTCCACGGAGACCCTGGCCATGGTGGTGGTGGAGCCCGGGGAGCCGCTGTCCTCTCCCGAGTTCGAGGGCGGCCCCTTCAGCTCCCAGTCGGACGAGATGTCCCTCGGCACCACCGCCTCGTCCGTCACGCCGACCAGCGAGCTGCTGGCCCTGGGCCCCGGGGACGGCCGCTCCTGCTCCATGGACTCCGCCTACGGCACCCTGTCCCCCACCTCCCTGCAAGACTTCGCGACCCCAGCCCCTGCAGCGGAGCCCGCGCCCCGGCCCCCCGGCTCGCCACAAGCCCCCTCGCCCCCGCCCTCGCCCCGCCTCCGCCGCCGCACCCCCGTCCAGCTGCTGCCCCGCCTGCCCCGCCTGCTCAAGTCCAAGTCCGAGGCCAGCCTCCTCCAGCTGCTGGCGGGGGCCACGGCCCGGGGGCCGCCCCCAGCCCCCAGCCGCAGCCTGTCGGAACTCTGCTTGGCTGCCACGGCCTCGGGCACCAGGACTCGGGGCTCCCCCCACGAAGCTGGGGCCCGCTGGCATGGCGGGGGCGCGCCAAGCCCTGGCGGGGGCGCCCAGCCGTCGGAGCCGGAGGGCAGGACCGCCTGCCCGGCGGGGGAGCCCGGAGGGCCGGCCAGGAGGAGTGGAGAGCTGCCCTCAGGGGCCTCCCCCAGGGTCCAGCCGGAGCCGCCGCCCGGGGTCTCCGCCCAGCACCGGAAGCTGACGCTGGCCCAGCTCTACCGCCTCCGGACCACCCTGCTGCTCAACTCCACACTCACCGCCTCGTGAGTGGCCGGGCGGGCGGCGAGGCGGGCGGCCCGGCGTGCTGGCACGGGGCACCGAGCCCTGGGGAGGGCAGGGGCGCTGTTAGGGCTGGAGCAGCGGCACCCAGGGCTGTGGAGGAAGAGGGAGCCCGGGGCCTGCCCCGGAGCTTGGCTGAGGGTGTCTGAAGTCAGGATTGTGGCGGGGAGGAGAGGGTGGCTGGAGTCCCTCTGAGTGGCATCAGCAAAGGAAGGACTATCTCTCCCCTCCCCGCCCCGCCCCTGCAGGGAGGTCTGAGCAGAGGGAGGCCCCAAGGGTGCCGCTGACCACGGACCGCACACAGCAGGCCTCCGGGGTGCGGCCCTGCTCCAGCAGCCGCCTGTGTGCGCACTAGGCAGGACCTGCTGCTGCCGCGGGGCCGTGTGCACTCGGCCAGACTGGATGGAGGAGGAGGAGGGTTCGGCAGAGGCCCAGCTCAGGATGGCCCCACGGTCCCACCGGCACTAACCTGCCCCCGGCCCGCCCAGCAGGACTCCTCGTCCGCTCCTCCCTGGAGTCACCAGCTTCCCCTGCGCTGGACTCCAGGGCCACCCCCTCCTCTCCTCTGGCCCCGAGGGGGACAGCTCCTTGCCCTCGCCTCCCTCCGCGTCCCAGGCCCCGGGGCTCGCTGTAAAGTTGCATATTTATTGAGCTTTGATTCTTTTATAAAGACTTGTACATACTCCACCGGAAGGAGTCCTTTGCTTTGTATCCCACCCCTTTCAGGCTCAGGGCAACTGAGCTCTGTTCCCCCATCTGTGGAGGGGCGCCGGGGGAGAGGCCGTGGGGAGCAGCAGTGAATTAGGGGGCAGAGGCCACCGGACCGACACCCCAAAACCAGCCCATGCCCTGACACAGCCACGAGACCCACCCTTAGCGCCCCACGGTGCTGCTCCAGGCTGCCCCGAGCTTAGGCCAGGGTGGGCGATCCGGCTGGGCTCACCGGGAGTCTCTGGGGCTCCTCTCCAGGGGAGGGCCCTGCACCCACACCTTACAGTGTCTGGAGGGGCCTGGCTCTGAACCCCCGCGGAGGAAGTTCCTTCACCCCCTCCCTTGGGGGTGGTCTCAGGGCTGAGACCGGAAGCCAGGCTCGGGGCCAGGGTAGCCCTGGCCTCCGTGCACCTTGCTGCCCGCGGGCCATGAGCTCACTGAGCTGGGGACCGCCTCCCAGGCCAGGCCTCCACTCCCAGGGCCCCTGGGGCTGCTCCCCGACCCCCACCCCCAGGCAGGCTCCCGGGGGCGGGCCTGCGGCTGGGTGCCGGGCCGGAACTGCGGTGGGCAGGGCGGGCAGAGGGGAAGCCCCCGCAGGCGCACGCCGGGCCTGCCCGCTCCAGTCCCGCCCGAGGGCCCAGAGCGGCGGCGCGGGGCCATGGACCAGCAGCCCCGGCGCTGGGCGGCAGCGGTGGCCGCAGTGAGTGGGGTCCACGGGTGGGGAGCGGGTGAGGGGCGGCCTCAAGCCTCTGGGCTGGGCCTGAGCGGGGCGGAGGGGGTCCCGAGAAAGCGAATACCTGAATCTGGCGCCCAGACTCGCTGGGGGTTGGGCGGGCCCTCCCCTCTGACCTAGTTAGAGGCTCCGCAGGGCGGGCCCTTCCTTCCAGAGGAAACAGCCTGCTGGGGTCCCAGGGAGCAGGTCGCTGGGGCGGGGGAGGGGCCCTGTGAGGGGCTGGGGGAGCCTTCTGCTTGCCAGCCTGGCCCGTCTCCCATCCCAACCCTCGGGCACCCCTTCTGCTCAAGAACCTGGGAAGTGGGCTGCTCTGAGGGCACAGTCTGGGGGCCTCCAAAGGGGGGGAGACTGGGCAGGGAGAGGCCCCACGTGGGGAAGCCATGCCCACGCAGGAGCCAGCAGCCCCTGTCTCCCAGGCCCTCCTCCTGCTCCTGCTGGGTGCCCAGGGCCGGGGCGGCACTGCCAGTCCCCGGTGTGAGTGTGCCCGTGGCTCCCAGAGGAGGACCGGTCCGCTCTGCTGCAGGGGCTGCCCCGCAGGTGAGTGGCTGCGGGAGGGAGGGTGGGGAAGCGGGGCTGGGAGAGAAGTGGGGGGCACGGGTAGGAAGGGGAGGGGAGGCGGGGGCCCCCTGCCTCTCTGACGCAGCCCGGGCTCCACAGGGCAGTACCTCGCGGCCCCCTGCACGGAGCCCTGTGGCAATGCCACCTGCGCCCCGTGCGGCCAGGGCTCCTTCCTGGCCGGGGAGCACCACCAGCAGACCAGCTGCACCCGCTGCCAGGCCTGCGACGAGCAGGGTGAGGAGCTGCGGGGTCTGGGGGGCCCTGGGGGCAGGCTGCGCCGCCTCTTTCTGAGGAAGCGGCTGGTTGGGCCACGCAGGGTGCGAGGGCCTGCGGTCACCCCCTCAGGCCGCTCTCCCGGACCCTGCCCCGGGCACCGTTGTGCCCCTTCCCCCCGCGACCTCCTGTCTGCACACTCCCGCCTGGCCTGTGGGGTGCGCTGCCCTGTCTCTGGTTTATCCCGTTTGTTCTTCTGGGGATCTGTCCCACCTCTGGGGGGCAGGCGTCTCTGCCCTAACCGCCTCTGCTCCCCGTCTCCCTGCACCCCCACCAGCCTCCCAGGTGGCCCTGGAGAACTGCTCGGCAGTGGCTGACACCAGGTGTGGGTGCCCGCCAGGCTGGTTTGCCGAGTGCCCGGGCCCTCACTGCATCAGCGGCTTGCCCTTCCGCTGCCACCCGTGCCTGGACTGCGGGGCCCTGCACCGCCACACACGGGTGCCCTGTGAGTACCCACAACGTGCGCTATTGACCCCCCCTCTCTCCCACTCTTACCCTCCCCCCACCGTCCTCTCCCCCACCTTGACCCACCCCGTCTGCTGGTCTGCAGGTTCCAGCACAGACACTGAATGTGGCGCCTGCCTGCCTGGCTTCTATGAACATGGCAACAGCTGTGTGTCCTGCCCCACGTAACTTCCTGGCTGCCCTGGGCAGGGACAGGGGGAGGGGAGCAGAGTGGGGCCAGGGCCAGGGAGGAGGGGGCTTGGCCCTGTGGTGGGTGGGCCCCCCTCCAGGCAAACATGTAAAGGGAGACGTGGATTCGCCTGAGCTGGGCAAATAAGGACACTGCGGTAGTGAGGAGGAGGGTTTGGCGCATACGGAGGGCATTGGTGGACCCGCCCTGTTCCCTGGAGGATGCTGGGCAAGCGGCCTCACTCCGATGTGCGGCTCCCCCATCTGAACACGGAACGGTAGTGGGTCCCCAGAGCACCTGCCATCTCAGACACCCTTCTCGGTGTGGGGTACAGCAGGGAGACCCCTGGCCGGTCTGGTCCGGACGGAGCGGACATGCTGATGGCCCTCAGTCTGGTCTAGAAGCAGCTCGGATACATCCTGGTTGAGATCTAGTTCCTGGGACGCGGGCATTTCAGCAGAGCTTTGGGGACATTCCCGGGAGGAGCGGGCTCCAGGGAAGAGGCCTGGAGGGGAGGGGCCCTCAGGACGGAGATGTCGGGCAGCCCGGACAGCCCGCCGAGCGGGCCCTCACCCCCCGCCCCCCGCCCCCCGCAGGAGCGCCCTGTGGAGATGTCCCGAGCCCTGCGCAGCGGCCTGCGGCTGGAGGCAGAGTAGGTGGCGTGCTGGGGACACAGCGGGTGGGAGAGCTGGGGAAGGCCCAGGGCAGCTGGGGGGCGGCTACACCCAGCACCCACCCACTGCTCTTTCAGTGTTCTGGGTCCAGGTGCTCCTGGCAGGCCTGGTAGTTCCACTGGTGCTCGGTGCCACCCTGACCTACACGTACCGCCGCTGCCAGCCCTGCAAGCCCGTGGTTCCTAGTAAGTGCATGCGCATTTGCACGCACACACGTGCATACCCACACATGCGCATGCTCGCACGTACACACACGCATACACACAGGGACATACAAATGTGTGCGGACCTCATATGTGGACGTGCATAATCACACACATGCATGCCACTTACATGCATACACACACATGCACACACTCCTGGGAACCTGGGGTCAGGATGGGTAGCCGGAGCGCACTCAGCCCGGACGCAGAGGGAACGGAGGGAGCTGGTGTGTATAGAGGACCCCAGCGCAGCTGGACCAGCATCAGGCCCAGGAACCCTGCCCATTGCTGGTCGGACTCTCTTGTCTCCCCGCAGATGGAGCCGGGATGGGGGCCCTGACCGCTCTGCAGGTGAGACTCACGTTCTGTAGGTGGGTAAACAAGTACCAGGCCTCAGCCTTCGGGAGCTCAGAGGCCGGGCCTCATTAGGACGCGGGCGCAGCTGGCATGGGGTAGGCTAACACACACGTGCGCCAAGTTATCGGGAATGAGGGCAGCACGGGGCCTCTCGGGCGTGGCCCTCAGGAGGCCGCGGGCCTCAGGTTAACAGAGCTAACTCTTCAGGGGGGCGATGCCGCCATGGCAAGGGCAGTGCCGGGACTCCAGCAGAGGGCAGCTCTCCCGCGGGGTCCCTGGGGGAGCTTGCTGGCCCGGCTGACCTGGGCCTCTCCTGGCTTCCAGACCACCCACCTCTTACCCCCTGAGAGCGCCCACATCCTCTTGGTGCCACCCAGCGGCAGTGAGAAAGCCTGCCCCGGCCAGCTGGTGGGCAGCGGCTGGACCCCTGGCTGCGCCCAGACCCAGGACGCGCCGGGCGCGGAGGGGCCGTGGTCCTGGGAGCGGCTGCGCAGCGGGGCGCTGGGTAAGCCTTCCCGCCGCCCGCCGGGCCGGTGAGAGCTGTGCTTTCCTGGGGCGCCGCGTGCCCACTTCCCGTCCCCGCGCTCCCCGGGGGGACCGCCCCGCCGCTGCCGCTGCCGCAGACCGCGTTCCCAGGGTCTCTGTCTGCCCCCAGGCCCGCCGCCGCCGCCAGCGCCCCCTGCAGGCTCGGCGGCCGCCACGCTGCAGCTGGGCCCGCAGCTCTACGACGTGGTGGACGCGGTGCCCGCGCGGCGCTGGAAGGAGTTCGTGCGGACGCTGGGGCTGCGCGAGGCCGAGATCGAGGCCGTGGAGGTGGAGGTGGGCCGCTTCCGCGACCAGCAGTACGAGATGCTCAAGCGCTGGCGCCAGCAGCAGCCCGCCGGCCTGGGCGCCATCTACGCGGCCCTGGAGCGCATGGGGCTGGACGGCTGCGCCGAGGACCTGCGCGGCCGCCTGCAGCGCGGCCCGTGACGCCGGCCGCCCGCCAGCGGGCCCCAGGGCCCTCGCACAAGCCCTAAGTACTGTTACTTACGCGTGTAGACATTTTATGTCACTTATTCTGTGCCCCCGGCCCGGCCCTGCGTAGCAGCGCCAGCCGCCCTGCCCTGCCCCCCACCCCAAGGGGAACGAGGGAACGGGGGAGGGGGTCGGAATGGCTCCGCGGGCGCCCAGCCCCAGGGGCCGGGCTGTGGATTAAATCTGTTCGGAAAAGCCGCAGATTGGTGTTTCCTCGGGGCTGGGGTGAAGGGCCCGGCTTGGCTTCCTGGGGCGTCGGGAGGGCGGAGGTCTCGCCCGCCAGAGTCTGGGACGCACGGAGGGGACCAGAGTGGCCCTCGCGCCCGAGCCTGCCGCTCCCGCTCCGTGCGGGGCTGCCCCGTTACCCCTCCCCTCCCGCTCCCTGCGTGGCTGCCCCGTTACCCCTCCCCTCCCGCTCCCTGCGGGGCTGCCGTTACCCCTCCCCTCCCGCTCCGTGCGGGGCTGCCCCGTTACCCCTCCCCTCCCGCTCCCTGCGGGGCTGCGTTACCCCTCCCCTCCCGCTCCCTGCGGGGCTGCCATTACCCCTCCCCTCCCGCTCCCTGCGGGGCTGCCCCGTTACCCCTCCCCTCCCGCTCCCTGCGGGGCTGCCCCGTTACCCCTCCCCTCCCGCTCCGTGCGGGGCTGCCCCGTTACCCCTCCCCTCCCGCTCCGTGCGGGGCTGCCCCGTTACCCCTCCCCTGCCGCTCCCTGCGGGGCTGCCCCGTTACCCCTCCCCTCCCGCTCCCTGCGGGGCTGCCCCGGGACCGGAGGGAGGGGAAGCCGGCGACGGGGAGCGATTGAACGTGAGCGAGGCCGGCGTCTGAGAGCTTTAATGGGGTGCGAGGCGGCGGGGCGCGGGGCCGGGAGGCAGCAGGCAGGGCGGGTTCGGGCGCCTCGTCCTCCAGGAACCCCGTCCCTGCGGTGACGGCGAGGGCCGGGGGCCTGGCTGGGGAGCGCGGGCTTTACGGGGCAGGCGGGGCCCGGAGCGGCCGCCCCGCCGGGACGGGCAGCTTTTATGGTTTCTGGTAAACAAATGACTGAGAGGAAGCCCTCGGCGGGGATGGGAAACGGGCCGGCGGACAGATCTAGGTCGGGCGGCAGGAAAACCCCTTCCCTTCCCGAGCCCGGCGGCCCCCGCCCAGGATGTGCCAGCGCCGCGGGTTCCGGGGCGCGGGGGAGGGGGCCGCAGCCGGTGCGGGTCCCGCAGGAGAACAAAGCCGCCACCCACGGGGCCGGGAAGACTCTGCAAACGGTGACAGTCAAAGGCCATGCAAATCTATGGAAATAGCCATGCAAATAAGCAGCATCTTTTGCGTCAACAACTTGGGCACTTTCTGGGCGCCTGTGGCGGGCGCGCGGGGGCGCTCCTGCGTCTTCCGGGGCTGGGGGTGCGAGGGCGGGGTTCAGGGAGGGGTGCCGAGCCGGAGGGGGGGTGGCCTGGGTCCCAGCGGGTCCATCCGGGCCGGGGAGGCGGGGGCGGGGCGCCTCCTGCCCGCCCACCCGCCCCAGCTCCCGGGGAGAGGAGCGGGAGGAGCGCGGCTAGTACTTAGCGATGTCCCCCTTCTTCAGGATGATCTGTCGCTGCCAGGGCGCCAGCTTGGTCTCGTCGTAGCCCAGCGTCCGCAGCTTCTCCGACTGCTCCTTCTCCCGCTGCAGCTCCTCCTGCTTCTGCCGCTCCTCCTCTTTTCTAGACGGGGGTCGGGACAGAACCCGCAAGGGTGAGAGGGGGCCAGCGCCTCGAGGGCTCAGTGGTGGCCAGGGCTGTGCCACTGAGGGCAGAGGGACTGTGAGGGGGAGGGTGGGCAGTGGCTTCTAGGGCAGAGGGGCCAGGGGACTGGAGGGCTGGGTGAGGAGGCAGGCAGAGGGGGTGCTGGGGGCAGATTGGGATCACTGGGTGAGCTAGAGGCTGCGGCCGAGTCATTGCTGGAACAAACAGGTGCTGATCGCAGTGTGGCTGAAGTGAGGAGGGGTGATTATAGGGGCAGGGGAGGAGATTATTGGGGCGAGGACCTGAGTTACTGGGGCTTGAGGATGGACTCTGGGGAGCAGACCACTTTGGGAGACAGGGGCTGGGTAATTGTGGACAAATTGTTAAAATGGGGGGCAATGGGGGAATTTGGGGGACATCTGTGATACTTTCAACAATAAAGATAAACTTAGAAAAGCAAAGCACTTTTTGTTTTCCAGGAAAAACAAAACAAAACACCAACACAAAAGTGTGGGGGCCAGGTCTGCACTGCTGACACGGTAGCCACTGAGCAAATGGGCTGCTGAGGGTTGGAAATGTAGGACTGAGGAGTGTTGCAGCCATAAGATGCTCATGGCATCACAAAGACTTAGATTTCAGAGTGTAGGGCGTCTCATTAATAATTTTATATTGCCGAAGCCGGTTTGGCTCAGTGATAGAGCGTCGGTCTGCGGACTGAGGAGTCCCAGGTTCGATTCCGGTCAAGGGCATGTACCTTGGTTGCGGGCACATCTCCGGTAGGGGGTGTGCAAGAGGCAGCTGGTCGATGTTTCTCTCTCATCGATGTTTCTAGCTCTCTATCTCTCTCCCTTCCTCTCTGTGAAAAATCAATAAAATATATTAAAAAAATAATAAATAATTTTATATTGATTATATATTGAAATACCTAACTTCAATTAACATTATAATCACTGAAGTATATAACTGAATTTTGATGAGTCGAGTTATATAAAATACTCCGTAGCCCAGCTGGTGTGGCTTGGTGGTTAGGCATCCACCTGTGAGCCAGGAGGTCATGGTTTGATTCCCAGTCAGGGCACATGCCTGGGTTGTGGGCTAGACCCCCAGTGGGGGCGTGCAGGAGGCAGCCGATCAATGATTATCTCTCATCATTGATGTTTCCATCTCTCTCCCTTCCTCTCTGAAATCAATAATATATTTAAAACATACTCTGAAAATTAAGTTCGCCTGTTTTTGTTTGTTTGTTTGTTTTGTGTGTGTTTTTTTTTTAACTGAGCAGAAAGGCTAGGTTATTGAGACAGAGGGCTGGGTAATTGGGGACATGGTCATGACAGCATAAGAGCTAGACTCTGGGGACCGGGTCTAGTTATGGGGGCGGGTGGCATCACTGGGAGCAGAGAGGCTGTGCTACAGGCCCAGTGACAAGGGGAGGAGGCCAATGGGACTGGGTGAAGGGGCCAAGGAGGGGAGGCAGGCTGGGACTGCCCTCACTCACCGCTTCTGCTCCCTGGAAGGAAAAGGAGACAGCGTTAGTCGGTGCCACCAGTTCAGGGACACGATCCAGACTCCCTGCCAGATCCCAGCTCACCTCTCCTCTTCGAGCTTCTTCCGGAGAAGGTCCCGCCTCCAGGCAGGCATGTTGGCCAGCCGGGCCTCCTCTTCCTCCTCCTGAAACACACACAAAGCTTCAGGGTAGCCCAGGCTGGGAGGTATGGGCAAGAGGGCGTGCATGCCCAGCTGGGGGGACTGCAGGAGTGAGGGGCCCCAGGACCCAAAGGGAGCTCCAGGAAGAGCCCTCTGGTACCTTCCTACAGGGCAATGGATGGGGGAGCCTGGCCACACCCCCTTTTGAGAGGCAGAGGTCCCTCTCCCCCTGTAACTCAGGCCTGTGTCCCAGAGGTGGTGCCAGAGCAGTCAGAGCTGAGTGCAGGCGGTGAGAGCAGGGAATGAGGTTTTCCCCAGTAAGGTGACCAGACGTCCCGCTTTTGGCGGGACAGTCCCGATTTTTAACAATTTGTCCCGCGTCCCGCAGCATTTTAAAAAAGTCCCGATTTTTGGAAAGATTCTCTCAGGGACTTTGAGAGATGACAGGGGTGGATGGCAAGTGTGAACCATTGATTTTTAACAATTTGTCCCGCCAAAAGCGGGATGTCTGGTCACCTTACCATACAGGCAGGCAGACCGATGGCCCCACAGCTGTGACCCACAATCTTCAGGCACACCCAGACCTGGGCCCCCGCAGACCCTGCCAGCTCCGGGAGGCTCAGTGAAGGCCCCTCCCAAATGCAGGAGACATGAACTCTACAACACAGCGTGGGGGCATCCAACACAGGCAGCTCAAGGCGAAGAGTTTTATTTTATCTTATTTTTTAAAATATATTTTATTGATTTTTTTACAGAGAGGAAGGGAGAGAGCTAGAGAGCTAGAAACGTCGATGAGAGAGAAACATCGACCAGCTGCCTCCTGCACACCCCCCACCGGGGATGTGCTCGCAACCAATGTACATGTCCTTGACTGGAATCGAACCCGGGGCCCCTCAGTCCGCAGACCGACGCTCTATCCACTGAGCCACACCAATTTCGGCGCGAAGAGGTTTATTACTCGCACGTTACAGAGAACACGTCACACGGGACACTGCACACCTGGCTCCCCCGACCTGAACCCAAGAGGTAGCTGTGAACCCCAGCGAAATCCAGAGAGAGGAGAGCCACACAGCCCCAAGGGGGACCCACAGTCCCTCGCTCAGAGGGGCCGCTCCTGCCACCGGCTCCACACGGAGCCAGGCAAGGCCGCAGGGCCAGAGGGGCCTCCTGGTCTGCCTTGGGCCACGCTGGCCTATCCGGCCACTCCCCAAACCGGCCTGGCGGGACTCAGTGGCCAGGCAGCCGGTCCTGCGCCTCCTGGGTTTTCCTAGGCCAGGCTCCAGGGTTCTTGGGTCGCTTCTGGCTTGGGAGCGCACCATCCAGGCCTCGGGGCCGGTATCCAGGCCCAGGCTAAGACGCTTGAGCGGAAATTCTGAATCCTGCTGCTCAGATGTCGAAAAGCTCTGCCTCTTTCTCCTTCCAGAAGGAGAAGCTGCGGTCGATGTAGCGGCAGATGTCCTCGTTGCTGAACTCGCCCATCTCAGACAGCAGCTCCAGGGGGTCCTCAGCGGGGGCTTCGGAACCAGGAGGGTCCACGGGCGGGGGCGGCTCAGCTGGCGGGGGCGGGGGCGGCTCTTCGGGCGGGGGCGGGGGAGAGGGCTGCGGCGCAGGAGGCGGCGGCTGCGGGGCGGGCGCCGGGGCCTCCGGCTGCCCCTCTGGCCAGTCTGTCTGAGCTGGAGCAGCTTCTTGGGCCTGGTCCCTCTCCTCCTGCTCTTCCTCCTCCACCTTCTCCACCTCCGCCACCTCCTTCTCTTCTTTCTCCTCTTCCTGCTCCTTCTCGGCCTCTTCCTCCTCCCAAGGCCGCTGGGCGTCCG